TTGAGAAAAATACAAACTTCTAAAAGCACACAAAGTTAAAGAAGCACAAATTATAATAACAAACTATTGATATGAAAGGAAAAGCAAAGGGCCTGACTAGAAATTATTACAGGGTGGGGTAGAGGGAAGTAGTTTAGATTCCAAATCCCTAAGAGGGTCGGGGAAGGCTTCAGACGAGATTGGGCGCATTCAGAGTGGCATGGCCATAGGCAGGCCAGGGAAGGCTTTGATAAGAAAGTGGTATTTTAGCAGATACCTGGAGGAAAAATAGAAGTCAGAGTGAAGATAAAAGTTCATCACACACAAAGGAATGTCATAGACAGGGGAAAATGTGCGTCTTCAGGAAACTGAAAAAGGGGAAAGGGCCACACCTTGGTGAGGGGACTGAGTGGCACTACATGAAGCAAGAAACATAGACAAGGGCATCCTTGCTTAGCAACTGCTGGCTTAAGAAAGCAAATGTGCAATGACAGATACAGGCTGTCTGAGGGAAAAATAAGTAAGAAATAGGAGCTTTCTTGGAGCATCATCCTTTGCTTCAGTAGAAAGCGCAGAGTAGACTTCCAATTCTGATGAAAGCTATGGTCAACAGGGAAAAGGCAACCTTAGGAAGCCTCTGTCAGGGGTTCCGTGGGTACTATGATGGAGCTCATGAGATGCAGGCAGCAAGTGCTAGGCTGAATTGGGGGCACATTCACTCCGGAGAGCTATGAGGTCACCAGTCACTGAGGTCATCCAGTGCATTTCCAACAAAATAGGCTCATTCCAAACTAGCTCTGCAAATGAGCAGAAAATAAACTCTTGGAAGCAAAGCAAGCACACCCACTTTAGCAGAATAATTAAATTTAACTCTTAGCATTTCCCTTCTTTTCTAAAAGTAATAATCGTAAGTACAATTTATGAAGTGCCTTCTGTGTATGTGAGAGCATATACTACCTTTGACCCTCCCTGCAAACCTGTTAGGAAAATATTATCATTCCCTTTGTGAAGATGAAACGGAGGCTCAGCAAGATTAAGCAGGTTGCTTAAGATCTCATAGCCACTAAGTAGTCAACATTGGGTTCAAGGCCAGGCATCTATGAACCCAACATTTTTAACACTATATATCATTCTCTTTTTGTATAAACTTTATATTGCTGCTGTAACAAATTTCCACAAACTGAATGACTTAAGACAACAAAAATGTATTCTCTTACAGTTCTGGAGGCCAAGACCTAAAATAGATCCATAGGGCTGTGTTCCTTCTGGAGGCTCCAGGGGAGCAGGGGTTTTCTTTCTCTTTCCAGCTTCCAGGGGCTGCCTCCATCCTTTGGCTCATGGCCTCCTTCCTCTACCTTCCAGGCCAACAGCGTAGCATTTTCAAATATCCTTCTTCTGTCTGCTTTAACCCTCTTGTCCCCCTTTTATAAGGACCCTTGTGATTATATTTAAGGCACACCTAGATAACCCAGGATAATCTGCCCATATCAAGATTCTTAATCACATCTGCAAAGCCCTTTTACCATTACAGGCAACATTCACAGGCTTCAGGGATCAGAACATGGATATCTTTGAGAGGTCATTACCCAGCCTACCACACCTTTCCACATAGATTCTCAAAGTTTTAGCTGAGCCTAGTGAGGGAGTTCATTCCCATTAGGGTCCAGTTGAGTAGCAAGTGCTTCCTTTAAGAGAAAAGGTGAAAGTTGTCCACTTAATAAAGAAAGAAAAAAATTGTATGTTGAAGTTGCTAAGATCTAAGGTAGGAAGGAATCTTCTGTCAATGAAATTGTGAAGAAGGAAAAAGAAATCTGTGCTAGTTTTGCTGTCACACTTCAAACTGCAAAAGTTACAACCACAGTGCATGCTAAGTGCTTAGTTAAGAGGGGAAAGGCATTAAATTTGTGGGTGGAAGATGTGGACAGAAATGTGTTCTAATTGATAGTGATCAGGTTTGGTGCTCTCTGAGGTTTCAGGTATCCATGATGTCTTGGAACATGGCGCCCACAGTTGAGGGGTGACTACTGAACATTTAAAATAAGCATTTATATATTGGTGATTGAACCGCCCATCTTATTATTGGTGTTTTATTTGTCCCACAAATAAAGCAAAGTAAAGTTTTAGGCAAGATCCATTTCTGGAGCTAGAGATATTTTATTACGATAAAGAAGGTTGCTCTACCATAAAATATAGCAATTTAAAGTTTTATAATCCCAATAACCTCAAAATATATAAAGTAAAAGATGGACATTATAAAAAGAAATAGACAAATGTACAATGAATAAAATATTTTAACACAACTCACTTAGTATCTGGTAAAACAATAGTCCCCCCAAAATCAGTAAGTATCTAGAAGATCTGAATAAATACGAACTGATTGGATTCACTGACAGATGTGTTTGGCTTTCTGTCCCCACCCAAATCTTATGTTGAATTGTAATCCCCAGTGTTTGAGGCAGGGCCTCGCAGGAGGGGCCTGGATCAAGGGGGTGGTTTCTAATGTTTTAGCACCACCCACCTTGTGCCATCTGGTGATAGAGTTCTCATCAGAGCTGGTTGCTTAAAAGTATGTAGCACCTTCCTCTTCACTCTTTTCCTCTGCTTTGGCCATGTTAAGACCATGCTTGCTTCCCCTTCACCTTCCCATGATTGCAAGTTTCCTGAGGCCTCCATTGTCATGCTTCCTGTATGGCATGCAGAACTGTGAGTCGATTAAATCTCTTTTCATTATAAATTACCCAGTCTCAGGTAGTTCTTTACAGCAGTGCAAGAATTGACTAATACACTGACACACCCACAGCACTATACTACTACTGCAGTACACACATATTTTATGAGTGCACATGCTACTGTTACTACAGTTGGCCATATGCTGTGCCATAAAACAAGCCTCGCTCAATTTCAAAACAAAAATGGATAATAAATATACAACTGAAATTCCTCAAATGTTTGTAAATTATGAAAAACGCTTCTAAATAAACCATGAGTCAATGAAAAAATCACAATAGAAACTATCAAATATTTTAAACTAAAAAAGAAAATACAACACATCAAAACTTGTAACATGCAGCTAAATCTATGCTTAGAATAAAAATAATAATCTGATGCTCATTTTAGAACTATGACAAGACAAAAAATTGCTTAAATCTCAGTAATCATCTTAAGAAATTATTTTTTAAAGGACTGAACAGCAAGTAGATTTAAAGAAAGCAGCAGTAACAATCAAATAAAAATAAGAGCAAAATAAAACCAAAAGTTGGTTCTTTTAAGTCTAATAAAATTGACCTCTGGCCTCAATCTACTCTTTGTAATTTGAATTAATGAGCAGAAGATGTTGGAAGGAACAGAAATAAAAACAAAACAAAACAAATAAAGAGAGATTTCCAAAACTAAAGTAAAATGCTATTTTTTTCAACAGATATATCCTCTTGATTACATACTGTTTGACTCTAAATGCGATTTTTGTTGCTTTAAGTTAAATCTACAAGGCTGTAAGGGGCCTAGCTGAATCTAGCATTTAATTTGAAATTTCTATGAAAAAATACAAGCTTTTTTATGGTAAAGTATAGCTTTAATTGTTGAGCTTTGATTGTTCACTCTTTGTGCTGAGGATTGACTTGGCAACAGATTTCCAACATTGGTGACTGCTGGTGAGGGCCAAAGAGGAGGCGTGTAGTCCCGCTGGATCTGAGTGCCCACTGAGCATGAGGGTGGATGGTAAAATGCATGAGTGCCTCTTGTTACAAGAAAGTGTGAGAAATGAGGGTGGGAGAGACAAAGCCACAGCACAGGCACTTACTGATTAACTAAAATTTGAAGCTGTGAAATTGCAGCTACCCGTTTAGTGAAAGAGGATATAAATGGCTTAGTTGCCTTCAAACTAGCAGAGATTTTTTAAATGGAGGGATGCTGATATTTTTTTTTAAAGAACCCATTTGTAAGCTACCTTTTAAAGCAGGGGTCCTCAACCCCTGGGCCATGGGCCCAGGCCTGTGGCCTGTTAGGAACTGGGCAGCCCAGTATGAGGTGAGTGGCCAAACATTAATGCCTGAGCTCCACTTCCTGTCAGATCAGCGGCAGTGTTCGATTCTTATAGGAGTGCAAACCATACTGTGAACTGTGCATAAGAGGGATCTAGGTTGCGTGTTCCCTATAAGAATCTAATGCCTGATGATCTGAGTAGAACTGTTTGAAACCCATTGCCATGTACCTTCCATTCATGGAAAAATTGTCTTCCACCAAACCAGTCCCAGATGCCAAAAAGTTTGGGGACCACTGTTCTAAAGAAATCAATCTCTTTGCTATTATTATTATTGCTAAGATGGAGTCTTGCTCTGTCACCCAGGCTGGAGTACACAATTTTGGCTCACTGTGACCTCTGCCTCCTGGGTTCAAGCGATTCTCCTGCCTCAGCCTCTCAAGTAGCTGGGACTACAGGCACACACAATCATACTCTGCTAATTTGTTGTATTTTTAGTAGAGATAGGGTTTCACCATGTTGATCAGGTGGGCTTGAACTCCTGACCTCAAGTGATTCACCCACCTTGGCCTCCCAAGTGCTGGAATTACAGGCATGAGCCACCACGCCCAGCCCCACTGGCTATTATTGAAGTGTTCCTTTTCTTTTTTGATCACATCTATGAAGTATATTGGAGAAAAAGAAGAAATAGAATGGGAATTTCGACAGAGCATTGTGACTCACTCCAACACTTTGGGAGGCTCTGGTGAGTGGATCACCTGAAGTCAGGAGTTAAGACCAGCTTGGCCAACATGGTAAAACCCTGTTTCTACTAAAAATACAAAAATTAGCCTGGTGTGGTGGTGGGCACCTGTAATCCCACATACTCGGGAAGCTGAGGCAGGGAGAATTGCTTGAACCCAGGAGGTGGAGGTTTCAGTGAGCCAAGATCACATCACTGCACTCCAGCCTAGGTGATAGAACCAGCCTCCATCTCAAAAAAGAAAAAAAAGCATGGTGATTTCTCCACTAACTTCGATGCTGCTGTGGTCTTGATCTCCAGGTCAATGCAATGCCCCTGAATTGCTTCCATTTGCCAAGCCTATCAACCCAACTGATGAGTCTCAGTTTCCCATTGGGACATATTTAAAGTACAAATGCCTCCCCGGTTATTACGGAAGACCGTTTTCTATCGTCTGCCTAAAAAACTCAGTCTGGACTAGTGCTACGGACAGCTGCAGACGTAAGTAACTCTGGAGTGGGCACCCCTCTGTTAGTCACACATCTGTAAGATCTGATTCAGTTTGTTCAAATTTTGTAACTGAGTTACAGATGACAATTAGTTTACCAGGGTACAATAAATACGAGAATAATTCTTGTAGATCATACCTTGTTACTGCTTTGAGTTCCTGGTGCCTTCATTACAAGTTTATTTCATGAGAAACAGCTATCACAGGATATGATCAAGGGAAAATCCCCATTCACTGGGGGTCTCCCAGTTTCATGACTAAAATGAAGTAATGAATGACTTGGGACAAGAAAGAGAAGTGGATTAAATAACCAAAAGATGAGGCAAACTTGGGCTTTGAGATCTTTGGATTATACCAGTTGAATTGAATTGCAGATGATAACAAAGAAAATTTACATTTTTCTGGGAGGTATAATATGGGGATGAAACAGATCTGAAGGGAAGTTTTTTTGAAAGGGAGCTGATCCTGAAGGCAGTCTGGTGAGTTTCCTAAAGGTGGCAAAAATCTATGGAACCATCATAACTGTGTGTATTCATCAATAAGCTACAGGCAGGTTGAGACCTGATATACTAAAAAAATAGTTTACTGTGCTTGGCTCCAAAATTCTGTTTCTTCTTGTAGGTAGATCATGTCGTAATCCTCCAGAACCTGTGAATGGCATGGTGCATGTGATCAAAGACATCATGTTTGGATCCCAAATTAATTATTCTTGTAATAAAGGGTGAGTTGGTAGCAACATCTCTTGGTTCAAGAGTTCTAGCACAGCCATACTGCCTTCTAGTCACATCTCAGAAAGGACAACTAAGCTATTAACATCTTCTCTTCAAAGGCTTGAACACAAGTGTTTAGCTCCTAACTGAAATGAGGAAAGGTATGACAAGATCGGGGGAAAATCATCCGTATCCTTGCTGGAAACCAAGGCAGTGCATATATGAAAAGGGTGGCATTCATTGGGTGGGAAGGAAGAAAATGGGGGAAGATTACAGTCAAAGCACACAAACAGCCCTAACCCAGGGCTGGAAGAAAGGGCAGGCCATTGAGCAGCTGCGTGAGAGAAATCTTTTCTTTTTTTTTTTTTTTGAAACGGAGTTTCGCTGTTGTTGCCCAGGCTGGAGTGCAAT